ACTATCTATACCTTAAACAAAGAAAGGCTGTGTAAGTATCCTTGAGCGGCTAAGACAGGCTCTATGCAGCAAATAACTCTTTGATTGCCTTCAGCTATCGTATCTGTAAAAAAAGTTTACCTTTATACCTAAACAAATGAATCTCTTACTTGCGAACATCCTGAACAACTTTCTTCTTTGATTAAAATTGTTAAATTATCATCTTTAATTTTGTCTAACAAATGTTGGTGTATTGCAATTAAGTAAGGTGTCCCAAGTTGGCTATAGAACAATGCACCTGGATCATCAGGTCTGAAAGAAAGTGTGTTGAAATGGGTGATGGAGAAGACAGACGTTTGCTAAAAGACCAGCAGAGAAGATTGGTATGTAACTTTGTCTTTTGTCATTCGAATGACAATTTCAAAGTTCAATAGCAAGACCTTAGATTTCATGGCAAAGATTCTCATCGAAGACACTTTCTTCTCTTCTGCGCATCGTTTATCTCCAGGTTCAACAAAAACTAGTGACGTACTTCAGAGACCAATCATGTCGTTGAAAATCTTCAGTGAGTTGACTTGCATTAATTTTCAAAAATTCTTGCAATAAAAAAGAATATTTTCTTTTCGATAGTTGCAATAATTCACTTGCAGCTTCCATATCGAATACATTACAGAACTCTAATGCATATTCCTCTCGTAAGAAAAATAGCATCTTGTCGTACATCGTGTATAATCTAAATATAGAAAGAACATCGATTGAAAGCTTTTAATATTCTCACAGACATTGCCGTACTTTTAATATTGTGGGGTTATGAGTAATTTCATTTAATAATGATACAACTGTTCGATCAATTCTGTTGCTAAACAAAAGAAAATCATTTGATTTAGTCGAAATTTGTATCAGGGCTGTTCTTGGGTTAAAAAAATTTGAATCACGCTAAAGGAAAAACGTATAAAAAAGCTACGTCAAAGATAATATCCTAAGATAAACCGGCAGCTTACTTCACAATCGAAACCAATAATATCTTCATTTTTTAAAATTTCATCCAACATTTTACCAAAAGCTTGCTCACTGTCAACTTTAACAGATGGTGGAAGCCAGAATGGTGGACGGAAAGCTTTTTCCATAAGCTTATCAAAAAATAATCTTCAAATCAAATATGTTAGACACCAGAACAAATTTGTACAAATCTTAAAGCATTGTGCCGCAACAGAGCACGTGTTTAACTCTGTGAGCACTGATTAGAGTTAGATCCAGTTTTCTTGTTTATAATTAGTGAGAACAGCCGTAATTTTTCACTACCACTATTTACCTTCTTTATAAATCGACGTTTTACGCTGATTTATAACCAAAAAGATCAAAGTTCTGATGGATATACCTAAACCCTCAGCAGATTCACTACATAAAGTCAAAAATTTTTTAAACAGAATGAAAAAAAAAGACAGAGAAAAGACAGATGTATTCTCGATTATTCTAGTCGACAATGAAAATAATAGTCCAAACTGCAAGAGAGAGAGAGAGAGAGAAGAGCGCCTGTTTTTTCTATAACTTTGTGAACCACATCAGTATGTATGTCGCGGTGCTTTTCAGTCCGCCCATCAAACAACGTCATCCTAACTGATTTTGATTGTCTTTTAGAATAACGGCGCGGCGGATACATCATAACATTCTGATGTATCCAACTGTATCCTCATTTTTTAATACAGTTGGATATAACCTTAATGAATCATCGACTGATACGTGTAGCATGATATATCCAAGATGACGCATCAGTTGGATATATCCGAAAATAAGCGCTAACAATTTTTACATCTTACCTTTTTTCATCTCGGATATATCCCACTATATCTTTTCTCAAAAATTTGTTGACTGGGCAGTAACATGCAATAACATTCACAAATTCTTCAACTTCATACTTTTATTTCAACACAACATGATACAGACAAATTATAAATAGGTGAAAGTATTTCCATTCACTGACAAATATAAAAATAAACAAAACAATTAACAACACAACGACAAAAATGCTACACAATAAGTTTTTCACCAATAAAAACAAAAGATGGCAAATTACAAAAGGCTAAACTTAGCTAAAACCTTCTGTTGTTTAGAAAACAATGGTTCTACCTCTGAAGGTTGCTTTTTTTTTGTTCACATTACCAGCATCGTATGAGTACAAAATGTTCATATGCCATATGTTGCGCTTCTGCGGCTTGTTCATTTCCATTACGATTGGTTTTTCTCTGAAAAACGATTACAGAAAAACGACTTAAAGCTTGTATAAAGAATAAAACGATAAGTTATATTACGAAACTTACAAATGTTACTTTAACACACTGTTGTATATCTATCACTGGGAAAGGAATACCCCTCTTCCCGTTTATGGGAAGACACGTTCTATACCCCGATCGGGGATATATAAAAAAAATGTATATTTCAATGGGAATATGAAATTTTGTCATAAAATTTATTTTTGGAAAAAAATGGCTTCATCATCGGGCAGAAAACGAGGACAACTAGTTACAATTAAAAGATGGGACTATGTTTCGCTTGTGTTTCGTGCATTCAACTGTTTTCCACCTTGTAGAGCGTTAAAAACCAACGAGCTACGACCACCTGTCGGGCGACAAACTTTTTACTTTTTATCTAATTGATGTCGTTGGTGATGTTTGTATGTGAAATCAAACTGGACGCTTGCGCATAGTTTTACTTGCTCTCCATTTTCAACTATATGGTTTAATTGTTCTGGTTCTCTGAGTGGTTCAACATGGCCACAACACAAGTCAGGTCTGACAGGCGACCAGAACGAAAACAATTTGATTTTTGGATATACGAATAGTCTGTTGAGTGGGCATTTAGAATATGATTTGCAGCATAACTCGAGAGCTTTCGAATTAGATATGAGAATAAGGCATCTCTCATCTGCTCAACAAAGCTGTGTGACACCCAAGTTTCATCCTCGATGGTATTGCACAGCAAATAGGCTAACTATGAATGATCCATACCTTACCTCCTGTTTCCATTTGTACCTACTTTTGTTCTGTTCTGATGTGTCAACAGAAAGAGCGAAAGACAAAAGAGGAGACACACACACACAGCAAAGATGGGATCCGGATGTCAGCCTGTCGTCCCTCGTCGTCAGTAATTCGTTCGACTGCTTCGCTTAAGAACTTGGCTTACCCGTACAATATTGACATATACAAAGCCGAGAGACCTTGTTCTTCTTCTCATTTTCTTTGTAACATGCACTACACCTCATATTGTTAAACGTCGCTTTGAACTCACATTGAAACAGGAAATTGCACTTGCAAGATACACACAACTCGAACATCATCTTCTAATTACAGAAATCAGCAACGAAAAAACGAATGCAAGTCAGTGTTCTCTCGCGCATCTTACTCTTCTTCTTTACTTGGACGATTTTGAATTAATACATCGAAGAAAATGTTGGGAAGAAAAGAAAAACTTTTATCCTCCTCTATGATTCGTATTTTACTAATTCTGATTGCCAAAGAGTTCAGCATACAATCAGCTTGCTATGTTGGAATACCAAGTCTGTGTGAAATGCTCTTTGAATACTTTAACAGACAACTTATTGATCAATCGCTCTACGACTTTACCCTAACGTATTTGTACCATGTGTCCTATATTGAATTGTTCTTCTATTTGGGTAGCTGCTCTGGACTCTATCTATACAGAGTGTAATTTTGAATCTTCTTTTTGATAAAAGGTGAAGTTTTGTGTGAAACTCCTCCTTCTTAGGTTAGAGCTGTATAAGACTCGTATTCTCGGGTCTCGTACCCAGTCACTTCTCGCCTATTTTATAAGCACATGTGTTATGTCTGCTCTTTTGAGTCTTGATTATCTGCACTGCACTATAGAACATGCAAGTTTGTTAGAGGAAAAATAAAATTTCTTATACCCTTCTTTTCAGAAACAGTCGGTTTTTTTTTGAAGCGTCCGATTAATTGTAGTGTTAAAAGGAACCAAAAGATTTGTTCATTTTTACAAATGAAGGTTTTTTGTTCAATTTGATGAGTCGCGCTTTATTGTAGGATAAATTATTTCGGAAATTAGGAATATTTTTTACACTCTGCCTCGAAAAAAGAAACGGACCAAATTGTCTTCGTGCAAGTATCCTATTAATCGGACGCTTCAAAAAAAAACCGACTGTTTCTGAAAAGAAGGGTATAAGAAATTTTCTTTTTCGTCTAACAAACTTGCAGTGTTAGACGAAGTGCAGACTATAGTGCAGTGCAGATAATCAAGACTCAAAAGAGCAGACATAACACATATGCTTATAAAATACGCGAGAAGTGACCGAGTTCGAGACCTGGGAATAGCGGGTAGCTGGCGAGAACGAGACCCGGGAATACGCGAAGTGACCGGATACGAGACCGAGTATACGAGAGTCCCATTCCCGGTCCATACCTAGTTTGCACACACAGATATCCTACATACACGCTATCGTTTCCGCTGAAATTGAGAAGAAAATCACGTTTTCTGAAGATTTCATAAGCTCAAGGTGACACTTGGAATACCTACTACAATATAACTTCGTGCTACTTATGGACAATGTATGAAGTTATTATTCACTGTCACGAAGAACGCAACGAGGTAATTTCATTGACACATCCATGTCGAAGAAAATAACTGTTCTTCTTGTTTTCTTCTTGTCGGAAGTGATTCACTAGACAAACCGTATTTCTGTTTCAAGCGTTCTGTTTCTTTTTCTTGCTGCTGTCACTTCATCATATCTATGTACTTCTGCATGGCTCCACCTCTTTTGGGTCATGAGAAAAAGAAGGAATGCTGCTATGTTTCTGTACTTGTTCTTCTCCCTTGATAATGTAGATGAAGGGAGAGTATTAATGTGTCAAAACCGTTGATAGATTGTTGTATCAAATGACATGTTGTTGTGGCTTATCTGCGCGACCTAGAGAGGGAAATTTTCCTGTAAGGGAGAGCTACGCATATAAAAGAGTAGAAGGTACAAGGAATAGGCCACTCAATCAAAAGAAATGTGGTGGCTCCTCTTTACTGTTCTCTTCGCACGTTCTGAGCAAGAACAACAACTACCAGCAAATACCGAATCTTCACACAATGCAGGCGGAATATATCAAGTAGAAGTACGAACAAGTATCGGCAGTATTAAATATGAAGATGGCGAAATACTCATTGCACAGAATCAACAGAAGCTGACCGACTTTTTCTTCACACCATTCCCTCGCGTACAACCAGAAGAAACAGAATGTCACGACAGCATATCGAGTGGACGTATTGAACTGGCACTTCAAGTCGAACTCTACACGTCTCAACTCGTACAAGCTGTCTATAACTATCTTCATAAACATCAATCTGCTCTTTGCGGAAATACAACCTCCACGTCTTTGTGTTCGGTTGCTCTGCTACCCATGAATTCAATTCGACTTGTTCAGAAGGACACGCCTTCTGATGATGCGAAACAAAAATATAGGCTGAACGAAAACTGGCAATCTGCTACTATGCGTCTTCGCTCCATGGAATTTGCCATTTATTCTTCTAATATGAGTGTATGTGAACAATTCCGTCGAAGTATTATGGAACGGTGCCGCATGCAAAATTACGAAGTGCACTATTCACTCTACGGACAAAAGACGGTTCAGAAAAGTTTGGAAGTAAACACCGAACATATACGCCACACGGCCTTATACAATCAAATACGAGCAGAATTTCCAACAGTCGAAAGTGTGGTTCTCACCGGTGGGGATTTCAAAAATCTCATTACTGAAGCATCCGATCGTACTACGATGACACTGAGAATGGAAGAGGGATTCGAGAATTTGGCTGAACCAACTTTGAGCATTGAAAAACTGCTCGAACGACAACTATCTGCTCGACAGGTGACAGATTTTTCTCGTGCGTTCCTATACTAGGCACGAATAGCTATGATTCTTGTTTTTTTTTTCTCAAACGAGACATCTTATAACGGGAAATGCATAAAGAAATTGGCAGGCGAGGCTTCTAGGTACTTAATAGCACCGAAGTGTGAACATTGTGCAAACGCCCTTTAGCTTGAGTGTACTTATGGTTTTCTCCAAAATCGAAAGAACAATTTAAAAGTTTCAAGCAATATCCGTTCGTAATAAATTAAGTAACATCTCTTTCAGGTCCAATTGGATCAAATAAATGATAAGCAATGGGAGAGTTTATACTGGACATCCGAGTTGACACGACCCGACCGTCTTGCCAAAGTACTCAATACAATTTTCCGCAAAGAAGATGGTGCGAACAATCGTTTCATCTATGACCAACAAGCGGCCAAAGCAGCTATGAAAACAGATTTAACTCAGCACGACATCGTGCACTTAGGCGCGAATGAGTATGACATCTCGAAGAACGTCGGCGCCTATTTCAACATTGATCGAGCTGATCTAACTGAACACACTATAGATCAAGGCAATTCTGTTGCACAAAATTCCGATGAAGCACATTTAACTCATCATGATAAACTACGCTTAGAACAAATGGGCAAACTGTTTGATTCACACGATCAATCAAGTTCATCTTCTCGTAATTCACAATCGGGTGGTGGTGGAAAAACATCCTTAAACGTATTTGGTTTATTCAAATTTGGTGGTAGCGGTGGTGGTTCGAGCGATTCACAATCGTCAAATACAGACAATCAAAAGAATGTCAGAGACCATGCACACGGGAAAACGGTGGATACGGATTTGCTGGATGTAATACACACACATAAGAACAACTCGAATACGCTAGACAGGAATGAAAACCATTTGAACTCTACGAAGACGGATAAGAAACACTTCAACAGCAGCCGAATAAATACAAGAAAACAAAATGAACAAGCATTCGATGCGAACAACCTGAATGCCACCAAAGTGAGTGGCGAATCAGAAACGCAGCATACACTAAGTCGACAAGACATGGCCAAGCTCATTCGTCTCTTCTCCTCGAATGTCCTACTCGAAGGGGACATCGTGAAACCACGACCTATCAACGCTCGAATTGTTAATATCGGCAAGATGACCACAAACACGAAACTGTTTTCCAATACCATACTTGCTCGAATGCGCTCGAATGTACACGTTTTGCCCCTTCGATGTGCCTTTAAGGAAGGACATAGGAACAAAACAAGTTTGTGGCTAGTGGATCGACTCGAGCGACTCGAGACTCTTGTCCAAATGCCACTGCCAAATATTTCGATTAGGATGGAAGAGATGGATCGAGATTCGAAGAAACGGATCAACAATATAACTGATCAACTTTCCGCGATTTTCGAGAACCTTGTCAACATCACCCACACACAATACAGTTCGAAAGAAGAAAATGCTAAACTGCGAAGTGAATTAGCCAACGTTTCTCAACGTATTGAAAATATCCTTTCAGTCAGTGAAAACACATTAAAACAGGCGGAGACCAACTTGAAAAGCCAAATTGACGTTATACGACAGTCTGTTGGGAACAACGCCCGGGAACAGATTGAGACACTTTCAAAAAGTGTGAAGAAACAGGAAGAAGATCAAGCTACTTGGAATAATCGGACAGAAGAAAATATCAAAAATCTTAGCAACAAAGATTTATCTCCAGGTACGCACTAAGAATTACTATCAGAGTAACCCTATTTCGGACTTCTGAGGGAACCTCAAGGAAGTGTTTGAGCACTTTTCAAGGGGGTACATGCCCATGTTAGGTCCATCGTACCTTCTGTCACGCACTTCTTTGTTTCACTTTGGTATGAGATCTGCATCTGAAAAAACTTTTTAATGAGCAAACTTTTAGTTATTTCGAGGGTCCGTATCTATAAAACAATTTATCCTCATTGGTTTTCGACTACTATACGAACAACAAACAACAAAGAAGTAGTTCTTCCATAAAAAATGCTACTAACCCAAAAAAAATAGAGGTTTTTTGCATATCTAACCATGCATTCAAAGTTACTATTTCTGACGGTAACTGATCGAACTCTTGTTTTTATAATCATAATCTTCCGATCAACCAAATACTCTATAACAACGTTTTTATTTTTTCTTGAGGTAAAAGAATTGAGGCTTTCGAAAATGCTAGAATTATTTAGGAGATCAGAGATCAGATCAGACTGATTATTCAGTTGTCTCTTTTCCCTTCAGGCTAGTGAATGAGCTGTTCTCTTCTCTTTGCTAACAACGAAATGTCTGATAGAAAACAAAAAGTTGCCTTGATAGTTAATTACTTGACTCGATAAGAGAGCATTAAAACTTTGAACCTCTTGTCGGCTTTTGTGCAGAACAGTAGGGTGTGAATTAAGAAGTATTTTTTGCATTCGTAACAGATCATTAGCCATTGATTGGTACTATCGCGCTCTACTCGGGCAGTGAAGCTCTTGCACCTACGTCAAAGTGGCTTCTATGCGATGGAACGAAGGTGTCTCGAATAATCTATTCGAAACTCTTTTCCGTCATTGGCATCAAGTATGGTGTAGGTAACGGGGTCAATACTTTTCACTTACCCGACTTTCGCAATCGTTTTCCGTATGGAAGTGTCACACCCGACGTACAAGGTATTCGTGGTGGAAATCAGTATCATACGCTGACAGTTCGTGAACTGCCCCCTCATCAACATGCTATGGGAGAAATTACAGTGAACTACAGTGGAGACCATTCGCATACTCTATATGATCCAGGACATATTCATCAGATTAACTATTTCACTTGGGGCCTTGCGGCAGGCACTGACCGTCTATGGCAAGTAATGGACTACATGTGGTTCCAGCATAAGCACAAGCACTTCAACACGTCGACTGCGAAAACAGGCATTTCTATGCAAAGTGCAGGTCAACATACACATACAATCACGGCACAACCAACAAACGGAACTGGTCAAGGAAAACAGTTCGAAATTTTGCCACCCTACATAACTGCTGCTTTTATTATTTATACCGGCTGAAGATCGTGTTAGATCATGAACTACTTTCGTTTAGCTTTTTTCCGTAGTTTAACTTGAATAGACTTACACACACATAGACACCTATTGAATAAACAGCGAACACATTTTTCCACTTTTAACCATGTCGGACATCTCATTTTTTCACGATTTCTACCAGAGAAAAGTAAGTTCGCACCTAGCAACATGTCTCCATACTGTATTCGAGCTACCTATGGTTATTTTATTCATAAAGGTATGATTATAAGTAGCCGACACAAAAGGTAGTTATTCTACGGATAATGCCGCCTATCTCGGCAACGGAAAAGACCTGAGAAGAGATATTTTCGAATTAGTCATGCCCTTATGCTAATAAGTAACTTGCAAAAAAGATTTTTCTTCAACTCGTCTGCAAAAAATCTCCAGCCAAATCTATTTCGACTTCATATGTATTTGAATAAAGTTTCCAATGATAAAAGATTCTCATTAGCGTTATCGGTGTACTATTTGAATAAGGTTTCTAATGACAAAAGATTCTCATCAGCGTTATCGTTATATTCATATGAAGTCGAAATAGATTTGGGTGCAGTTTTTTTGCAAACGAGTTGAAGAAAAATCTTCTTTGCCAGTTACTTATTAGCATAAGGACAAGACTAATTCGAAAATATCTCTTTTCAGGTCTTTTCCGTTATCGAGAAAAGAGGCATTATTTCCTAAAAACTGGCTCTTATTTATTGCTTGAACGGCAAGACTTTTTGGTGAAATTGATTATTTAGGCAGCTATAGCTTTGTACATAGATTGTCTAACAGTTGTAATTTTATTAAAACGTCTTCCGTGGGCGGCGAGAGCGCGCAAATTTTCCAAATTTTGGACTTTTTCCGCTTTTAACCAGATCGGACGTCTCATTTTTTCGCGATTTCTACCGACGAAAAGTAAGCTCGCACCTAGCAACATGTCTCTAGTCTGTGGTTTCTTCGATAAATTAAGAATAAATATATAAGCCATCTTTAGAGAAAGTATTATTTTAAGAAGTTTTTTAATCATTATGAAATATGCACCAGTCTTTCATAATTGTCTATTATTTAGATTTAAGCACCAACGTTATGGTATTTTTGCTCAAAACTAATGTCGAGACTCTCTGGTTACTGTTATTGCAATAAATAGCTCCAGTTTTTCTAATGAGAAATCACCAAACACAAGATCAAGAACAGAAAAATTTGTACTAGCTGGACGATATCGAGGAGGTCCAGATGGTGTAGGTAGGACTTTGATTATGCGTTAAATTTTCTCGACAACTATGCACTCTTCTGCAATTATTTGTGATGTTACGAGTGTTACAGGCTTATGGCCTTTCACATGTCAGACGCGTGATCATCATTCACATTCATTCTCTTTGTTCTCTATATTTTCTCTCTGTTCACACAGACATACATACATATCATCTCTCTCGTTGTTGCCGGATACTTTTCTTTTTTCAGTAAATGATAACTGTTATTTTACTATCTCTTTCTCTTTACTATCTGCCGGACGTCCAATACTTTCTTTTTCTTTTCCATTGTACTCGCACATATATATACCGGTGTAAAGTTTTAAAAGGAAAATAAAAAATCATATCGTTCACACGCACGTTTTTCTCCGTTTTTCGTTTTTAAACTAAAGACAGAGTATTGACGTGTGTGGTTTCGCTGCAAGCAGAGAGTGTCCAGACATACTTTATCTGGCTCTCTGAAATTTGGTGCCGTGACGGGTTTTCTTCATTATCCATCGAAGGAAGTAATCCAAAGAAACACAACACAACGTCGATAAAAAAAATTAAAATGCAAGGAAGAATCGTCCTTATTAAATATAAACAAATACTCACTCTGTATAAAAGAGTGAGGCAAATAAAACGAAATACTCACTCTGTATAAAAGAGCGAGGCAAATAAAACGAAATACTCACTCTGTATAAAAGAGCGAGGCAAATAAAACGAAATACTCACTCTGTATAAAAGAGCGAGGCAAATAAAACGAAATACTCACTCTGTATAAAAGAGCGAGGGAAATAAAACGACATACTCACTCTGTATAAAAGAGCGAGATAAACAACTATCCTACATTTTCATTTAGAAATTATTCTGTATTCTTTCTTAGCAGTCTTATATCCATAGAAAATAAACAATGGCAGATCGAATAACAAGAAGCGCAGTAAAAACTGCTGGTGAAACACTTGTGTCACATCACATATTGACAGAAGGTTCGGACCGAATATTAACTAAATTGATTCAAGAATCACAGTCACCCATAGCAAGCACATCCAGATCGAAAATTTCAATAACTATTTTAACTCCGTATAATCTAACACAAACAGCTTCGTTATTATCGATGAACACAATGCCAGATTCAACAACAACAGCTCAATCAGAGCAAATGGATCCAATCTCACAACAGTGCCATAGAGACATGATAAAAAACGTTTAATTTTCTGGGGAGGAATCACAAAATGTAATGAGTTTTTTGAATGAAATAAATACAATCGGAAATATAATACAACAAAAAGAACACAAATTATTTTTGATGGCAATATCACGCCTTACATCAAAAATAAAGATAAACCATCGAATGCTTGATTGCTATTGGAAACAACCAACGGGATGTTTCAAATGCGGACAACCTGATCATCGTATTCAGATTTGTGCACAGGTTTTCCAGTAACTGGTGCTCAAGATGGCGGAGTCTCCAGTAATCAACAGCCATCACAAACAATAAAATCTATACCGATGAGTCCTATCCTTATTCGGGTACAGGCTAATAATCATACAAAAAACGTCATTATCGACACAGGCTCCGCCATTACTATCATTCATCGTGATTTCTTAAGAAAAATTCATCATAAAAATTTTAGTTACCAAATGTACATCGTATACATCAGCGAATTGTACAGCGGTCGACGTCATTGGTGAAGTTGAATTAGAAACAAAAATAAACGGTGAAAAGACACATGTAAAAGCTGATGTAGCAACAAATTTGGTAACACAAATGTTACTGGGCTCAGACTGGATTACAAAAAATAGGGTTATTATTGATGGAGGGAAAAAACAAATAATAGTCCCTAGACGTAGTGGTAAAGCAATAACAACACCATTCATCGAACAACATGAAATTTTTTATCCTGTGTTGCTAATTAACCAAACAACGATGCCACCATTTTCAGAATGCATTGTAGAGGCATCAGTCCAAATGAACAACTCAAACTACGCTTTATTTGCATCGACTGAAAATCTCGATAAAAAAGGTCTGTTTACGGCCAATGCATTGCTCAACATTAACAACAATACCACTAAAGTATTAATTATTAACGCAAATAGTCGACAATTTACATTGTCAAAAAATACAAAACTGGGACGAATATCAAATCAAGTAGAATTAACAGTTTGTTTAACATTACCGTCGACATTAAGTAACAGGAAAAGGCATGATCACATAAATCAATCCTCTGATGCTCTATTTAATCAATCACATCGTGCATACAATCCAATTAAGAGGAAAGATCCTAGAGATCTATCCTATAATACAACATCAAAACTTTCAATTCATCGATGTTATGTATGTAAAACGAATTTTTTGTCTGGGAATGATCTACAACATCATCTACGTGAACAATGTTATCCACCGCAGATTCGAGTACATGTTGAAACCATGACCAGACACATACAAGATGTAGAACAACGGGAACAAATACAAAATATTTTGTGGAAGCATGGTAAATTATTCGATACT